AGTGCAAAACCTGGTCATAAATACATATCTTCTGAAAGGTTATTTAAGAACTCTGCAAAAGGGATCTTTTTTGACTGAAATGGAGACAGTGAAGACCATGGGTGTATTCCTTCTCTGCTGATTAATGTGGATAAAAACATCTTTCACAACTGTACAGTCTCTAATAATTTAGGATGGTTAGCCAAAAACCCTATAAATATAATCAGGTCTTGAAATAGCAACCGTTGTTGGTTTTTTCTTTCCCTCGTCCTTTTACAGGTATACACCAGGCTGGCTTCTCAGCTGATGTATATTGCCATACCTGTACTAATACCGAACATGTTGCGACAGTTTACAGCCTTCTGAAGATCTGACCCCTCCCTGCTGTCCTGAAAACATATCCGTGATCTCTGCAGGAAGTAATATTCTTTTATACACACACACAGATGTAGGCGTCCTGCCCCCGCTAGCTCACATCTAACTCTCTTCTAATCTTGTTTATTTTGTCTTCATGGTATCAAAGCAAGCTGCACAGCCAGCAACAAGCTTGCAGCAAATAGGTGCATCTTATTTTCAGTGGATGGGCCTTCACAGGACACGTACTACACCCCCAAGAGATTCATGAAAAGGGCAAGGTCAGAGACTCTACAATTTTAATTTCATTTCATCTGTTAGAGAAATTACATTCAAGCTTGTCTTTCCCAGTGCAGTTAGGTCAGACAGAGGGACTCACAGGCAGATTGGGAAGATGTAGTGTGTGGTGTTGTCACCACTCAGTACCTTGCCTCTGTGCTTCCCTAGAGACCATGAAAATCTGTGTGATCCCTTTCCCTGCACCCCAAAGATCCAGACAGAGGTGAGGAAGGCAATAACCCATGTGTGCTGCCCTCAACAATAACCAAGGACAGAGGTCTCTATTGCTTGCCAGGCTCCAAAATGGGCCAGGTGCCTCTTCTCACTTCCAGAAAAGGGACACCATCAAGTCTCCCCACTGAGCTATCAGCCAGCAGAGGACCTGAAAAGTCCTTTAGCAAAGAGAGGAGGAAGGTCCTGGAGATAAAAAAATAAAATACCTGGAGGTAAAAGAAGGCATCAAACCAAAACACCACAATGGCTCGCTCCCTGTAGTGTTCTGTGAGGACACTTGCCTGGAAGTCCCAGATCTACAGTGTATTCAGGCAGTGTGGTAGAGAGAGGCAATACAACATGGTCAGTCAGGTATGCCTCTCTTCTGGGTTCCTGATTCCCAACACAGTGGCTACACCACTTCCAGCACTTAACCTTGTATTTCTGCACCACACCACAGCAGCTTGCACCAAGCCAGCACAGGGATCTCCAACACAGGAGCATCTTGGCTTTCTTCTTCCCCTGCATGCTGTCCCATTCTGCTAAAGTGACCACTGTGCAAGGAAGACAGATGAAGATCAGGGCAAACTCAGAGGTATCCTCCATGTACAACTCCCAGAGCCACCCAAACCCTGTGGTATGTCCAGATGGACTGACCTTGCTCTCCTTAGTGGCTATCACAAGGTCATAGTGCTCTGAGTTTTTGAGTGGTGTGCCAAAAAATCTGGAACTGTGCCTGTCATTTATAGCACCTTTTCTCAGATGGCACTTACATGTCTTTATAAACTTCAGTAAATGAGTGTATAAATCACTCTGTCCACCACCAGAGTACAGCCATCTCTGGGACGATACACAGCAGCTGCTGTAAAATCAGACCACAGCTCTACACCACAGAATAAGGCAATAAAACATACTGCATGAGGCAACTGAAATGGTTGGAGGAAGGAAGGAGAATGTGGTGTAAAGCATTTTGTAGTTATAATTGCCTGAGTATAAATTTGGCTGAAGAGGGTACTGTGTTTAATACTTGCATATCTGTAAATCAAAGCAGCTTTCTGCCACCTGTCCAAGCAACCTGACTGTACTATTCTCCATGTTTTGGACTTCTAGAGGCCTTCCTTTCTTAAAGTTGCAAAGCACCTTTACAAAAGCAAAGCTAATGTGCTGAGCAAAAACAATAACTTCACCAAATTTCTCAGCAACTGACTTGATAACTAACTGTGAGTCTGTAGCTGCTGTGCCCCCTCCCTTCCCCTTCCTTGCATGACAACTGAACATAGTATCTATATTTTCTCAGTTTCAAAATAGCTTCTGCTCCTGTAACTTGAAAACCATTTGCATAGATCTTATTTTCTAAGCTAAAAGTAGTTAATTACAGTCACTAAGGGGACTTGAATGATGCATCCTTTTCCTTATTTTGGGATAAGCTCCTTGAGCAGTGCATTGCCCCCTCCTCTCTCCCCCCTCCCCAAATCATTCACTGTTTATAACAGGAAATCTGTTGGAGGATGGGCCTGCATAGATTACAGCTATGAACTTCCTGGTATCAAGGACAGCTGATGAACAGTTATCCTTCTTCTCCTCTTCTTCTCAATCATACAGTCATATGTGCATCATCTAAAGCTAAATCTGAAAAGTAGTAAAATACAGGGAAGTGATTTGAAAGGTACTTCCAATCAGCATGTGACAAGAGACAACTTATTTTGGGATGAGGCCACCAGTTTGGGTTGAGGAACCTGGGTACATTGTACAGACTGTGTACAGTGCTCACCTGAAAAATTAATTAATTTAATTTGAGTGGCATATCTCTCCACCAAGTTTTATCTTCTGTGACAAGATCTCCATATCCACAACCTCTCTTAGATACTGTGAAAGCTTAAATTGTTAGGAAAATATTCCTGCTAGTGAATCAAGAGAATCAAGCATTATGTGTTTGAAGCATTATGTGTTTTAGTATTATTATTTAAATACTACTAATAGCAGGTGACAGCTCAGAAAGACCATATACACCATAGGGTCCATTCAGTTCTCTAGCTTGGATCAGAAGCACAATCATGCAAGCTTTTTGCACTGGTTCACACCGCAGTCTTCAGGTGCACAGTGAGGGCTCCTTTAACAGAAACAAAACTAGAAGATCAGTACAACTGCAGAGGGGAACTCACTGCACAGGACTTGATCTAACCCAAAACTAACTCCTGAGGTGTGTACAGCATGCACCCAACAGTCCTCACCACCAGCTGGGCTAGATGACAATCTATATCCACAGGAGCACACTGATTGTTAATGTAGACATATCCATATACATGGTCTCCCTTTGTGAAATGTCTGTAAGCCATGGGCCAGTCAACAGCTGCTTGCAGTCAGCTTTCTATGCACTTACAAGGAAAGGTTTACTAATTCATATCCCTATCTACAGACAGATAGGAATGACATCGCACACCTCTCACATAGGATACCCCTGCCAGTGATTTCACTTTGGTTCCTTAGGCTGTCTGTTTTCAGGAGCAGGCAAGGAGATGAACCATGTTTTCCTTGTGGCTGCATAACAGAGATTTCTATGTGCAACTCTGCCACCAGTACTAACCTGTAAACTGCACATACTCCAGGCCAAGTTGCACCTTCACATCATTGCAGGCCTTGAGGAAGTCATTTGAACTAACCAGACTCAAAGGCATAATTAGGTCTGCCATATTTGAATGAAACAAGTAAATACACTCCAACTAGAGTGTTGTAGAGCTAATAACCCAAAATCATAACCCAAGAATATAACCCAAGCCCTATAGGTTAGAACACAACACAATTTCATTGTACTGAGTTAACTCACAGTAGAGGTATGGAGCACGCAATGAGAAGGATCAGATTGTGCAGTCCCAACCTCCACTGCTGTCATCCATCTGCATACTCAGAGCAAAAGCAATCTTAGACAGAGAACCACCATGCTCAGAACGTTGTTATGCAAGACAAAAAATGACATCTTGGGTGAACACAATTTTTTCCCAAGCAAAAGGAGGGAAATGGTAACTTTTGAATGGGCACACTTTGCATAGTCAAGAATTATTTATTACCAGCAAAGCAGAAAATTATACAACTCTTTTCTTCTTCTGTAAGTACAACACAGAGGATGGAATGCATGAAAAGTATGAAACTCTCAAAACTGTACAGTTAAGGCTTTCAGCATGCAAATCCAGCAGCTAAAATCCTGCAAGACAGCCATGCCTGGTGCCCTTTTATTCTTGCTTGCCTCCTCTTCCATTATAAAAGCATTCACGAAAAGAAAAAGACTCTTGATCTGAATTCTCATAACTAATAACTTGTGCAGAGAATGTAGGGTAGAAGAATGGTGGCTGTGTGGTCTGCTAGATATACAAAATATTGTCAATGGTTATGAGTGACAGAGCACTGGAACAGGCTGCCCAGGGAGGTTGTGGAGTCTCCTTCACTGGAGACATTCAAAACCCACCTGGACACGTTCCTGTGTGATGTGCTCCAGGTGACCCTGCTCTGGCAGGGGGGGTTGGACTAGATGATCTTTTGAGATCCCTTCCAACCCCTAGGATTCTGTGATTCTGTGATCCAGGAAACATAAATGCCTTTGGTAAATATAGATAGTGAAGGAGAAGTAATTTGAACCCAGTATAAGAGGATTAGATATCGTGACTTTTTTTTTTTTTTTTTTTAAGCATATACATAAATTCTCCTGCTCAAAAGAAAAACAGAAGTATGACTATTTAAAGCAAAACATTGTAGTTCATGATTTGTAAGAACATTGCTTATGTCCTTACAAAGAACAGTAAATAAAATTGACCACAAAACCAATAAAAGTATCTGGCAAAGAGGAAAAAAAATAGAAATGTGTAGTTTTAGAGTCTGGTGACAGCTGGTTTATTTCAAGAATGTAAAATATTTTGTAAAGGTTAAGCTTTTGCTGTGACACAAAGTTTCTGGGCCATCTCTTCAGTTGCTGTAAAGTGACATTACTCAACAGATAAAAAAAACCCCAACAACCCTAAACATTATAGAATAATTTATATTTTTGGCTGAAAATATTAACAAAATATTAATATATGCATACATAACTGAGACAAATAAAGGTCATGTGGGTGTCTCAGAAGCATGATTACTTTTACATTGCCTTACTTCCTGCACGAAGCTCCACAACAGCCCCCTGTACTCACATGTTTTGCTGAGAACTCATCAACCTCCTGAAGCACCCTCTGCTGGCACTCTGGGTTGGTGGCTAGCAAGTAGGTGGCGAAGGACAGAGTGCTAGTGGTGGTCTCATACCCAGCGATCAGGAACAGAAAAGCTTGGCCTGCTATCTCATCCTCTGTTAATGTCTTCTGAACCTTTGCAGGTGAGGCCCGGCCAGCAAGACCTGCCTCGGTCTGTCTGGAAGCAGAAGATGGACTGATCCCATCAAAACACCCAGCTGCCAGGGAGTCAGCTGCGTCACGGGAGTCGAGCATCCACTGAAGAAAATCTCTGCGCCTCTGCAGAATATAGGATGAGAAGAAGCACAAAGAATGGGTCACAGAGCAATGACTTTACCTGTGGGGAAAGGAAGGAGAGAGTTTTTCCTATTTATACCGCCCACTTGGCTCCCACAGAGCTGCCACTGAATGAGAAGACTTCAATAAATCAGCTGGAAATGCCATTACTAGGAGCTGGTCACTGCTTTCTTCCCAATGGGATGAGACTGATCTGTCTCCAATACATAAGAGGTACATATTTTCACAAAGGATTATTAACGACCAGCTCCATACAGAGCTTCTTTCATCCTCAGAGTGAGTTCTGAGCGCTTTCTGGAAGTAAGGAAATTGACATAGTCAATGCACAGTCCCATATATGCCTGCCAAGTGGACATGGCACCAAGCACTGAAAGTCACCATCTAGGTTTGGGTTGCATCTACAATGATTTCTGCGCCAGCTGAAGAAGACAGGACCAGAAACTGAACTCAGTAAACTGGTGCATCTTTTTTATGAGAAAGTACAGTTATGAACACTTGAACCAACATAGGATTTAATATTTACTTTTTTTAAAGAAAACATATTTGTAGAAATGCATTACAACAGTAAGCCTTCTTCTACCATAAAACCGATTTGGGTGGCTCGTCTTTGCAAAAGGCCTACTGAATGATTCTACTGTTATGAAAACTGCTTTCTTTCACGTTAGTTTCTGACATAAAAACTCTAATAAACAGACCTATGGACAAGAGTGAGTTGACTCCAAACCAGTCTGGACAGCATGCTTGATTAGGCTTTGAAATATAACCCAGAAAGTTTGAATTGACTTTTGGGAGTGGGCATAATAGAATTGTGCTGAACCTAAGCCATAAGGCTACGTGATTGATTTTCAGTTCCTCAAATACCAACAGAATACATGATAGCTCAAGGACTTAGAAGCAACTGCAGTGCCAGAACATGACAACTTGTGCAGTAGAATGATAAAAGAAAGGGCTAAGTATTTCTTCAAAAGAAAAAAAAAAATGCTGTAAAGCTGTTAAAAAGAAATAATTTGAATGATTTCTTGAATCAGATGATTGAGAGATAAAGTAGCAGAAGGGAAAGCCAGAGAAAAGGACATGAAAAACAAGATAAGAATAAGGAAAGACTAATTACTTATAAATGTCAAAGGACTTAATCAGATTTCTTTTTTCACAACAAAAGAGGAGCGATACTTCACGTCCAGTATTTAGTTCTGCTGCCAACAAACTGTTCTGAGTGATCTAAAGGCAAAGAGTAATCACTATTTTGAGATTTGAGTAATACAAAGGATTGGCACACTGCCTCTTTAACAGATCCTTCCTTCCACCCCACAGAACCTTTTCATTTTGTATGTGTGTACACCTAAGAATCCACGCTCCAGACAGTTTCCAGTGCCAGTCACTGTATGCTGAAGGACTCCACAAACTAGGCAGTCAAACTGAATCACCTCCAAGGCACAGGATACATGTTTTTCACCCAGTAAGTGAAGGCACACAAAGCAACATCATGCACATTGTGCTGAGTGAATAAGCTCCAGTTTCCAAAATACTTCCTCGTGCCTAGACCTAGGCACAATTTCCATATTCAAAATGGCTCTGCTTCCTTGGTCTCTCATTTCTAATGCACCACACTAAAAGCTGCAACTGGCCTGCCACAGTCATCCTCCTCCAGTGTTACAGGATACCTCTGCTCTTTCATGCTTCTCTAGACTGGAGGAAACAAGATTTCATGCATATTTCAGCTGCGCATAGCTAAAAAAATCTCATTTAACTTTTCCAGAAAGGGTTTTATTCACATTCTGGGGTTCCATGCATTGCACAACTCAGAGTTCAACTCTTCTGGCATAGCCTATGATTCAGGGGTTTTCCTGGTACATCTCTTTTGGTTAGGCCAATTTTTAAACTAAAAAACCCCAACGAAACAGTCCACTGTGTTCATGAGTGTGTGGCTAGACTAGTCTAGCACAGTAATAAACTGCAACTGTAGAGATATTCCTTTTTATCTGTAAAACTAGTCATCATCACCTAAACAACTTTCATAACATAAAAACGTGTAATTACATTCAGATTCAGTGGAGCTGTAACGATGCAACATACTAAGTTCAAATGGTGTAACATTTGGTATGGTTCTGCATTCCTCCTTCTCTAGCTGTGAATTTTCTTGTAAACAAACCCATTGCTCTCTGAGGGTTTGCAGTTCCCAGTCATGAGCTGTTAGCTGTGGCTGGTCTTATATTTAGACAATACGCTCTCTGGAGACCCTACAAGATGTTTCTCCAGCCTTAGAAAAAGTCAGGTCCTGGCCTTATACAAAGCATCTGGTTATTGCTATGATGGTAAAATAATAATCATAATGACTAGTGAATAAAATTTCATTCATGAGAATTTTTGCTGAAAGCAAACTTAATGAATGCTAGCACAAGTGAATATTCCCAAGAATGTGCTCTCAAATGCCTCTGTGGCCATTTTGAGGAGCTCTTTTTATTACTCAGAAAATATATTTGGTTAGGAATTTAAAAGCTTCTCTTGCTGCAGAATCTCTTTATAAGGCTGCCCTATCAAGAAACAACTAGATACCTTTTCTGTGCCACCTATTTTGTTGCTCAGAGCAATGGATTCATAAACAATCCTTACAAAAAAACCCATTCATTTGTAAAAACTACTTGAATAGTAGTGGAGGGGAAAAAAAGCATAAGATGAGAAAGATGCAAGTTTTTTTCAAGATAATTCTACGAGCTATATTTTAGCAAAATGTCTCTTTCTTACAGTTCAATCTACTTCACTTTAGACATCAGTACAGAATGCAACATAAAAAAATCATCATCAGCCCAAGCGAGAGAAAAGATTTCCAGGGTTATAATCAGTCATAATGAAACGTATTTTTCTTCCACACTACCAGGATGGAAAAATCACTGTGGCGCAAAACCCTAACAATGTGCAATAGAGTCAAACACTAGCATAAAACCAAATATAATTGGACTGCTAAGTGCTGGAAATGAGGAAAAGGTATCTCATGAAAATTCACAGGGGTTTTCTCCACTTCAGTTGACAGAAGGAGAAAAAAATAAAAAAAAAGGCAAAAAAAAGGCAGTGTTTTCAGTTTGACAACAGACCAGATAATGACAATGTTACTGCACAAAAACATTCTCTGGTCATCACATACAGCTGCTAGTTTCCTTTTTCCATGAGGGACATTTGTTTGATTTTTCCTACAAAAAGCAGAAGACCATAATAGCCTCTATCCTGTCCTCTGACATTCACATACTTATGTTACAATGGCCTCAGAAACAAGTGCCCACTTCAAAAGAACGGCATGCCAATGAGACAGACCCTTGTTTTGCCCTCGTACAACACAGAGCCTATCATTAAGCCAATAAAAATTGAATGGAAAGCTACTACTTGAAAAAAAAACCCTAATTTGAATGCAGTCTGGGACAGGGTGCATGTCTAACTTGGTGGTGACAAGGACATTCCCTTTGAAATATATAATAAGACAAGCCTCGCTTTCAGCTTCCCCAAGATAGACACCTTGCAATATATTCCCTGACACCAGTGTTCTGGGCCGTATCATTTCTCTCATTAGTCTCCTTAAACATCACCTGGCCATGCAGAGAAATCATTCTGCACAGAACTGTAACGAGCTACGTGCTACACACTGGGAGAACTGATGTGTGTTGTACAGGGGAAGGCCAACCCGGCAGTATCTATTGTCCCTCCTCAAACTACTGCTTTGAAGTTCTGCAGCCGTCCATAGGAGAGAGGTGAATGTCTCACACATGTGTTATATCGTGACTTTTCTCACAGGAGACAAGGGTCCTGAGCTGTAGGGGATGTCTCTAGCTCTTTCCATTCTAAACAGAGAATTGTGTTTTGGTAAATTCATCGCTGCTTTGGGGGTCTGCGGGACCCTTGGTTGTGCTTTTGGTAAGGAGCTTGAGCCATTCAACCTGACCGCAAAGTGAAGTAAAAATTACTTCAGGAAAACTACCACATATGTATCAGCTGGACTTTTTGTTCTCTATGCTGTGATCTCAGTTGTGTTTTCTGCAAACTGTACTCAAACTTTGCACTACTCTGATAGTTCAGCTCTACATTTTGAGTTCAAAAAAGCCTAGAACTACAAAAAGCAACTTAAAGATGAATCAAGGAATAAAACTAGATAACATAATCACTTGATATTCTGTAAAGGACTTGCTGTGGTGCAGAAGTCATACAAATGTGATGCTGCTAATACAATATCACTCATAAGAAACTATGCAGACTCTCCTAGCCTTTTGCAAATGCTCTAATGGCAGCTCAAAAAATCAGAAGCTGAGCTTCAGAATCCATATCTAACAGACAGAAAGTTCACATCTCATATTATTTCAACTTCTTACAAATGTATAAAACAGTGCTGTATTAGTTCATATCCACGCCACTTTTAGTAAGTTTGATTCAACAATCACCTTTCTAGGTGAGACAAACCTGTGTCACCCAGAATGTATCAGCAAAGCTCTGCAGTAGCTATCCAGATCCTTTTGAAAAAGCAGCACAATCTGCAGTCCCACTAAAACTATCATTTTGCCAAACTGCTTTGAAAGGATCAAGTTCAACCTCTCCCTGACACTTGCAGGTTTCATTAGGCTTTCTAGTGAAACCACAAGAAAGCCAGTCTCCCTGCCTATACATCCAGTCCAAAAACACTTCAGAGAGACTGTCCTTTCTGTCTTGTGCTTTAACCCAGAACCTGGAGTTTCCTGGGAGGCCAGAGCTGACAGCTCTCAAGTGTGTGTGTCTGAAGGTTGAGGCATGGTGCTCTCATGGGTGATGTTCAGCTCTGGAAGGAGCTTGAGTCTTGAACTGCAGTGTATGGGCATTGTTTGAGAGTGGCTGGGAGGCTTTCAGTTTGGGGGAAAACTACTTTTTTGTTTGCATCTTTTAACATCAGCTGGTGAAAGCAATGTAATGTTTTTATTGTAAATGGGCTGAAAGTCTGAGGACAGACACGTCTTACAAAGCAATATAAA